TTGGAAGACTTGAGAATAAAGTGGGATGAACCAAGGAGACTTTATTGTGATAACAATTCTGCTATTAGCATAAATTATAATCCAGTGCAGTATGATATACTAAACATATTAAAGTTAACAGGCATTTTATCAAAGAAAAATTAGACAGTGGCTTAATCTACACTTCATATGTCTCCCCACAAAACAACCTTACAGATCTTCTAACCAAGGGGCTAAATAGCAACAACTTTGAAAGGATTGTTTCCAAGCTCTGAATGAAAAATACCCATTCACCAACTTGAGAGAAAGTGTTAGAAATTCTGTTTCATTAGTTATATTATTTCCATATTTAGCATATTATAATTATAGGGTATGAGGGAATATCTTTGAATCATAGAGATTTGATTGTATAAATTTTTGAAATTAGCTTCCTAGCCTTATATATATTATTGATGTATTCTTAGCATAATTTAATGAAAAAATTGATTCACTCTACCCTAATTCTTTAGAAAAAAAGGATTTTCATTCATTCATATTGCTTAGCTGTGAGTGAGTTTAATGAGCTTTAGAAGTTTCTTAGCTCATTTTCACATGTGTTTTCAAGTCTTATAAGTCTCCTTTTGTACTTAATTCCTTGTACCTTATTTTATCTATTTATTAATACTATTAAATTCTATAGGATCCTAACTAAAATTAGTTTCTAACTAAACTAAAAATCAAATGGAACACCACCTATGCATTTAAGTAGTTTTGGACATGAACATTTCCCCTCTATGCACATTCAATTTAACTTACCTTAGTTTGAAGAATTCTTCCTGTTCCATGTGGTTCCCTTAGAGAAATATATTTTAGTTACACTTCTCTACTTAGCATGAAGTTCAAATTTAAAGTCTATGATTCCAATCATATTCATATACACTCTTTCCTTAACTTAATTTAATCATTTATTAATTTAATTTATTGAAATTTTTTTCTACTTTTTTGGTAATTAAATGCACCCATCTTTGTCTAACTAGATTTCTTAATAAATATTTAAATAAAATTAAATTCTAACTAGTAATTTTATTGACAAATGGCTAATAAAATTTTAAATTTACCTTTATATCTGATAACATTACCACATCAAAGTTAATCCAAAGTGTTTCTGAAAAATTCATTTAAGGAAGAACAAATTTTCACATTAAAAAATTCTAAGGCTTATAACTTGTAAAATAAAGGTGTGTTACACTTTTAAACTTTGTTTAAGAAAAAAATATTACCTCATTTAAACTTTTTCAAATTATTTTTTAACCTTAATCAACAATTACTAATTATATCTTCATTTTTATTTGGATTTAGTTGAAATAATTTATCATTCTTGTTTATTTGAGAGGAAAGAAAATAAAATAAAAAAACATAAATAACAACAATTTTTTTTTATTTAATTGAAGATAAAATAAAGGAAAAAAAAAGTTGAATTCTAAAAATAACAATTCAAAAGTTTATTTTTTATTTTATATTTAATATAATTTTTAAAATTTTCTCTCATTGCTTTTGTTTCCCTTAACCAGGGGTTTATGCAAATTCTACAAAAATATGTTTGGATAAAATAAAGCTAAATTAGTTTTTAAAAATTTATCATTCTTGTTTATTTGAGAGGAAAGAAAATAAAATAAAAAAACATAAATAACAACAATTTTTTTTATTTAATTGAAGATAAAATAAAGGAAAAAAAGTTGAATTCTAAAAATAACAATTCAAAAGTTTCTTTTTTATTTTATATTTAATATAATTTTTAAAATTTTCTCTCATTGCTTTTGTTTCCCTTAACAGGGGTTTATGCAAATTCTACAAAAATATGTTTGGATAAAATAAAGCTAAATTCTACTAAAATTTATAACATTTTTATCTCAGTTTTTAAACATAAATGATGTAGTTTTAGTTTTAGTTTTAATTTTAATTTTTAATTATAAAATCAAATCGTTTGATTATCTTTACTTTCTTCGAGAGGTTTGATCCATAATTTTGTCATTGTCGATGTCCATCAATGTAGATATATTATCACTATTATTACTAATTAACCATTGTCATAACTATCTCAATTGTCATGAGTATCATCATCATTATTATTACTATAATAACTAGTCAACACATCTTCACTAAGGCGATAGTTGTTTTCATCACATTATAACTATTTACTTTTTGTTGTTATCATTCTTATTATTTTTAATATTATTTCAATCTATTTATAATTATTGTTGCTATTAATAGTTATTATTTCTATATCTTTGTATGCAACTATCATTGTTTTGATCAATTTATTATTATGACCATTATCATTATTATTACTATTGTATAATTGTTATTGTTGTCACTGTGATAGCATTAATCATTGTCATTATATTAATCACTATTATTGTCACTTCCTATCAAATCTAATTAAAAATATTTATGAATTAGATTATATTATTTTTATAAAAAAAGAAATCTAATCATTATAGCTTGATTTAAATTGATTTGAATAAAATTTTATTAGACTAAATTTGATAAAAGTCAAAATTAATATAAATAAAAAATTTATTTTTTAAAATATTTTTATTAATTTAGTTTTATGTTCTATTTAAAAGATTTACATTGAATTGATTTAATTCATGAAGATCTTATTATTATTTTTCTATTACTAATTAGTCATTATAATCACCATACAAACCTAAACAAAAAAGTAGTGATTGATTTGAGTTTAAAATTTAAACATTAAAAAGTTAAAAAAAAAAAACTAAAAGTTATAAAATTAATATTATTTTTTAAGAATTTCAAAATTAAAATTTGACATTAACTCCCAGAAAAACTTTAAATCCACATTGTTTTAAGTAATAAGAAAATATAAATTTAAAATAAATAATACACTTATTAAAATTTTTAATAAATATGAGATGATATTGTAGAATAAATAATTTTTAATAACTTAAATTTTAGAGTATGATTAACATTTTAAATAAATTAATTTGTAACTTATTTGATTAATTTATAAATTTATTTGATTAGATTAAGATATTTATAAATAAACTTATTTTATTAGCTTTATAACTTCTTCAATTAGCTTATAACTTATAAGCTTGTAGCTTTTGAGTTTATTCTTTGAGATTATATATATATATCCTTAAATGTATGTTAAAAAGAAAATTTGTGTAAAATCGTAATAAAATAAAAAATGTTGTTAATATATTTTTTAGAATTTTGTTAACGTTGGCTCTTAGATTAAGGATAAACAGCTAATAATAGTAAAAATTTATTAAAAAGAAAAATATTTATTATATTTTTATAACTTTAATATAATAACTGTGTATTTATTTTATAAAAAATTTCTATTTGTATATACTTAAATTGAGCCTAAAGACTGAGGTTAACAAAATTCTATTTTTTATATAATTTACTTTTTAGTATTATTATTAACAAAAATTTTATTATAAGTTATTAAAATCACGTGGATTTCATTTTTAATTTAATATGTTGTATGAATATTTTTATAATTTATAATAAAATTTATAAGTTTTACTAGAATTGTTAGTTTTTATCATAGTTTTTAGATAAGGTAATTCTTATGTGGATTACCTCGTTAATTAGACTTTTAATATGCAAAAAGTGATTTTGTTTTAGAAATTTTTTCCTTCCAGCTTGTCCACATCCTTAAAAAAGATTATAAGAGAATTTATTTTCTCAAATTATTTAGATAGTTTTTGTTTTGTTTGGGCATTTTGTTTCATTGTTAATAAAAAAAATGTTAAAAATATAATAGAAAATGTATTTCTAAATTTTTTTTATAATTTTTCTTAATTATTAAAAAATATTAAATAATTTTTATTTTTTAAGACAATAAATATATGTAATTTTTTATTTAATATATACTTAAGAAATTCGATATATCCTCTTGTAAGTTCTCTTATAATCTTATGAGAGAAATTAGAAGCCGGTTTTAAACTATTAAATTGATTAAAAAAAAAATTGATTGAATAAAAGATTGATGAATCTGAAAAAAATAAAATAAAATCTTATTACATATTGCGATCGCGTTCATATTTTGAATCCTGTAATTGGAACCGAATTAAACTGAAACAAATTGAATTGCAGTAAATTGTACTTACATTATCTTTTTATTATATTTTCACATAAAAATTATTTATTGTTATTTTTATTATAATGATACGTAAATACACGGTGTACTATTTCTCTCCATGAAACTCTCATTTCTTCTTTTATTTCGTTTCTATCAAAAAATTTGTTTGATATTTCATAATTTTTTCATTTTAATTAATGCTGTTTTTTTGTATTTTTTATTTTACAATAAATTCACTTAATTTTTTGAGTTAATTTTAATTAAAATAAAAATTATTTAAAAATAAATAAATAATAATTTAAAACAAACTGCAAAATTTAGTTTAAATTGACTTTATATTTAAATCGAATCAAATAAAATTGTAATTAATTTATATAAATTTTTAATAAAAATTAAATCAAATTAAACTGCAAATGCTAGGTAAAGAAACAATTTTTTTATTAATAATTAAAAAGTTATACGTATAAAAGATATATATATATATATATATATATATAGTCATATGTTTTATAAAACAATAAAAAATATTTAAAGAAATTACAGGAAATATAGCACAGCTGAACAAAATATTATTTGGTGCAAAGCTGCATTTTGGCCGTGACATGCCACCACGTCGTGTCAATATCAAGTGAGCAATGTAAAACCCTTAGAAGTTTTAACCTCTCTCCACACAACACCGTCAAATTTAAAAGAAAATCCCTTCTTTTTACTCTGATAGCGGTGAAGTCCCGTTCGCGTGTACCCCACTCCAACCCCTCCAACCTTCTATTCTCTACTGTCACGCTCACCGTGTTGCCTCATCCATCACCGTTCATTTTCGGGACCCACTCCTTCCCTTATTTGGACGCTCCAGATCTTCTCTTTCATCCTTCCTTACCCACCCACCTTATATATTCCCTTCACGCGTTCCTCTCTTTTTCATTTCGCTAAATCTGAAGAAACAGCTGAAGCAGCAGAAGCTGGAGCACGCAAATCGTTGCTTAAATGGCTCACTGTTAGTTTCGATTTTTCGATCCTTCAATCTGGTGTTAGCAGGTAGAACCCCGAGATTTGATCGTGAATTTTTTGAAGTTTTGTTCTTTGAATGAATGTAAATTTTGCGTAGTTGTCTATTTTTGCGATTGCGATTTTTTTATTTTTTATTTTTGGATTTGAGTTATGTGATCTTTAATGGTGTTTGAGTTGGATGCAGATCGAAAGTGTGGTCCATTTTATTTGAGCTGAGTTTCGGATTGAAGGTTCTCTGGGATCAACAAAGCGGAGATTTTCTCGGTGAGGTTCTTGATTGTGCTTTTATGATTTTATTTTATGTTTTTGCTTTTTTTTTTTTTATGTGTTGATTACCGTTTTGTTGTTATTGGATTGTGGATCTTATGGATAAGAACGTGATGATTGACAGTTTAATGATGACCTTGCGTTATGGGCTTGTTGGATCTTATGGAGTATTTGTTTAGTTTACCAATTACGATCTTTTAACTGCTTTATTAAGTTCATGTTGCCACGTTAAGTAAGTTTTATCTGGGTTCCTTGGTTGTTACAAGTATTATCCCCTTTTGTTAATGTATTATGATGATCTACGGAAACTTGTTGACTTTGTTAATCTATGTAGCTAGGGATCCTCACTAACCATTTGGTTTAACCATATGAAAGGGTGCTCGGAAATTCGGTATTGCCAATGTAAAAAAGGTGTTTCAGGAAAATTTTTATTTTCCTTTATTTTGGCGTCATTTTTTTTTTTTTTTTGTAATATTTCTCTCTTTTCTCTTGAGAGTAGATAACTTAGATCAATTAATGTGGAAGATGAATCATATATTACAGATAGCAGCATGGGAATAGAAATTTTATCATATACATAGCAAAAATTATTTGATGTTGTACATTCAAAAACTATGTTGTTCTTTAGTTAGGGAATTTTGTCTTTATGATGCAGAAATTATGGCTTATATTTTAATTTACATATGCAGTGTCCTATTCTGTTTTGCCTAAAATATGTGGAGATTTAAGCCATTCATGCACAAAGAGCAAACTGGTCTTGAAGGCCGCACCATAGATGTTGGCAATCTTAAAATAAATGTCGTTAAGGCCATTGCTGAAGGAGGGTTCTCTTGTGTCTACTTAGCTCGTGATGCTGTACATATGTCAAAGCAATATGCATTGAAACACATGATATGCAATGATGAAGAATCACTTGCATTGGTGAAAAAGGAAATATCTGTGATGAAATTGCTGGTAGGACATCCTAATGTTGTCACACTTCATTCACATACAATCTTTGATATGGGTAGGACAAAAGAGGCTTTTATTGTAATGGACTTTTGTGAGAAGTCTCTGGTTAATGTTCTAGAGAGCCGGGGAGCTGGTTATTTTGATGAGAAACAAGTTCTTTTAATCTTCAGGGACGTGTGTAATGCAGTTTTTGCCATGCACTGTCAGTCTCCACCAATTGCTCACAGGTAACAATGCTGAATAACAAATTTGATGTGTCAAAATTTGTGATTTCTCTATTTGTATTCTTCTAAATTATTTAAAATTTTTGTTTTAGCCAAACATTTGAAATGGAGTTTTATGCTTAAAAATGTAGTATAAGGAAATTTCAAGGTGTCAGTCTATCTTAACGAGTGACTGTTTCAGCATCATTGTTTGCTAATTTTATCTTTCATCTGTAAGATCGTGCATTTAGAGATATACAAGCATTTACATGCCCACGGCCCTATATTTCATATTATATGTACTGACAATGAAATAATTTTTAATCTTACACAAATGTCTGTCAATATGTGCTGTTTTTCTTAATGTCTTAATTTATTCAGGTGTGATAAACATGTTTATTTCAACCGTACCATTTTGCATGATTTATTTTATTTTATTTTATTTTATTTCTGGGATATAATTGAAAGAGTTTAACAAATCAATGGAAGTATACAAGGTGCATTCTTATAGGAACTTGGAAAATGGGCTCAGGCCCAAGTAGATAAAATGTGTAAGTTGGTCATAATTAGATGCGTGTGTGTAGCATGTGAGAGGATATATGAGAGAGTGGTGATACAGGAGGGGAGCACTGCAATAGTTGGTTGTATAGCTGTTTAGCTAGGCAGGGAATGCATAAAGCATTACTCTGAAGGAGCCATGGGCTCTGGGCAGGTCAAGGTTTATCTCTACTAGAATATTTGTTCTGTAATTCACATTTTGATCATTACAATTGCTTCTATATCTTATAATACATTTGACAGTACTATCACATTCTATCTATATTATTAATCTGCTTGTTTAATTTTCTTGTTTGCATTCTGCAGAGACTTGAAAGCAGAGAATCTTTTATTAGGTTCTGATGGCTCATGGAAGTTATGTGATTTTGGAAGCACTTCCACCAATCACAAACGCTTTGAGAAGCCTGAGGAAATGGGGATTGAGGAAGACAATATCAGGAAGTACACAACCCCTGCCTACAGGGCCCCTGAGGTAAGTTGAGATTTTTCTTCCTTAATGCTGTAATGAGATTCAACCCCTTGGATTAGCCTCGGTGGGGGTTAATTGTATCTCTATTTCCCTGGACATCACTTCTATTGGGTAGGCAGGGGTTTACCCTGTTGTCCAGACTATCCCCAGAATCCCATTTTTTGTACCCAAGAGAAACTACATCATATGTGATACAAATGTTCATTTCTTTATGCATTTTAGATGTGGGATCTGTTCCTGAGAGAAGTCATTAATGAGAAAGTGGACATATGGGTAAGTGATGTGTGCCTAAAACCCTTTTAATAATAATAACTTTTTGCCAAGTCTTTTGTTCTAACTGGAATCATAATATTGCTTGTTGTATATGTTAGGCACTTGGGTGTCTCCTTTTTCGCATATGCTACTTCAAAAGTGCATTTGATGGGGAGTCAAAGCTCCAAGTCTTAAATGGAAACTATCGCATTCCTGATTTACCCAAATACAATTCATCTGTCACGGATTTGATCAGAGACATGCTCCAAGCTAGACCAGATGACAGACCAGATATCACGCAGGCAAGCGCTTTGCTTGATTGGCCATTCATCTCCATCAATTTAGGTTGGTCATAGATCATCCATCAATAGCATTCGTAGGTGCTAGAATTAGGGCAATCAATTACTGACTTTGGATGTTCTACCATATTGGCAGGTCTGGTTTCGTGTTAATGAGCAGCTACCTATTAATTTACAGAAGTCATTACCTGACAGGCCACCTGAATCACCCTCTTCCAACGAAGGTGATGCAAAATGTTACCCTTGAAGTGAATTAGAGCCAAAAAAATTCTGCAGAAATTGGAGTTGTATTTACAATTTTATCCCTAATATTGAATAAAAAGATTGTTTTGTTACTAAATTTTGGCAGGTGTGTCAATGTCCAATAACAAAACACATCCAGTGCCTCGAAGGAATCCACCTCCTCCACCTTCATCTGGAGAACCCAAAAGTACACCACAGCCATCGCATTCTTCTAGGGGAGCAGGAAGTGGGGGGCAACTTGGTGCTTTCTGGTCCACTCAGCATGCAAAGGATTCTCTTGGCACTGAAGGAAAGAGCAAACCAATTTTTGATGAAGAACCATCCAGCCACCATATATCATTGAAACATGATAGAATTCGTCCAGACAATGAACAATTACCCAAAAATGCCAATATTAACAAAGTGGTTAACACACAAACTCATACTGTAAAAAGCAGCGCACAAGGAAAATTCCACAATCCTGATACCGTACCCTCCAAGGATTTTGAAATAAACTTTTTTCAGGATAAAGATCCTGCTGGTCAAAGGCGAATGCCAACTATGGAGAATACATCTAACTTCCAAGACCAGGCTTTTAACACTTTTGTTGCAGAATTTGATACCGCTAAGCTCAACTCTGGACTTGGTAACAAATCTGAAAGGGAAGAAGAATTGGAGGCTGAGGTGGAGAAACTCAAAGAACAGTTGGAGGAAGCCAACTTGGAAAAAGCTGAGATAACGGCTAAGTATGAAAAGCTTTCTGCTATCTGCCGATCACAAAGGCAAGAATTACAGGAACTCAAGCAAGCACTTGCAGCAAGGACTCCTTCACCAAATAGAGAAAAATTGAGAACCTCTCCTGTAGTTACATCATCTGCATCAGTGGTAATAAGCATTTTGTAATTTTCTTAATTCATTTGCCTTGCTAATTTTCATTAGCTTATGTTTGTGCCATATGGTACTTATCCCCAGTGGACTCCACTGCTTTTGAAAAACATTTCATTATGCTTATTTAATATTTTTGCCATCCTATTGTAACCTTGGTTGAGATTATGTTTCATGTTATAACTGCAGGATAAAACTGAATGGAAAACTCCTAGTTCAGAGCCAAAGTCATGGCAAGCTTTTCCAGAGGAACCCCAGCCACAAAAGTCCCTTTCAGCAGAAAACACTTCCAAATCTGTTCGGTCAAGAAATGGTCAACAAAACAAGCAACCAGCACAATTAGCTACTGATTTTGATACATGGGGTTTTGGCACAGATAGCTTCAGCGCTGTGCGTGCTGGCAGCCCACAGATGCCAAGACCAAGTGAAGGAGCTAAGTCTCAGGTTTTTGGTGAGGCAAAGGCCTTTGAGAGCAAGTCATCTTCTCAACCAGCTGGATGGGCTGGTTTTTAACTGTGGGAAAAGAGAAGTTCTAAAGGGTATCTACTGTGTGATTGCACTGAGACATTTTTTTTGGTCACATGGAGAAGTAAAATGAATGCAAACTTATTATATATTCAGTATGTGAAATGCATGGTGTTGAGTTTGTTTTCTGTTGTGGATCATGCTACGAAATGGTACATGCTTCTTTGGACTAAGCTATTCCCGAGTGGTGGTATTCATTTCCATCTTGCATGATTGTTGCTTTACTTTTATTCTGTGTGTTAATGGGCTAGGGTCTGAGTGGACCTCCGCCCTCTTGTACACCGTACTCATTCAGGTTTCATAGCCTGAATTTAAACCTTTTCTGCTACAAATTTGAAGTGGTTGCTTTCATTGCGTTAATGAACAAGGTGAATTTCTTCTACGTCTTATTTAGTGTTAAATTTAGTACAAACCTCTTTTGAGAGTACTACTAGTAATTATTCTATTTGAATAATAATAATTTAAAAGTCATGAGGTTTGACAGGTTGAGCACATTTTTATGAATAGAAAATTAAAATTTGAAAACATAATATTTGGATTTAAGATACGAAGTCAAATTTTAAAATAAAAGGAAAAACTAAAAGTAAGTAATTTCAAAAGTTTGTTAAGTTAAAACTATAAAATTATAGTTAATCTGTATATTATTAAATACAAGTCATTATATTATGCTTAACAAGAGGGTGGAGCCGTCCTTTTTTACAATTTTTTAACTTTTCATGACGGTGACCAGAATTAATTCTCGTTTTATCTTAAAAATTTGTCAATAAATTTTAGATACTGTTAATATAAAAAAATTTATGCAGTTAATCAATTAGAAATCATCTTAAATGACTTTTAAAATAATTATTATAAAAGTCAACAATTTTTAATTATGTGATAATTTATGATTAGATGGGAGTATAAAACAAATTCACAAATTTAATATATTTCAATTTTTAAAAAAAATCAATTTATGTAGTATGAATTGCTAAGTCGCCAATTTTTAGTTAAAACCTGCCTAGTCAAATTGAGTACTTGCATAATTGATCGATCCTAAGCGTTGCTCAAACTAGTTATCATCAGGTTAATGTCGGTTAAACTCGGTTAAACTAGCTTGTCTACGACAATTTCAATACATATTGCTAATCAGAAAAGAAAAGGGAAAAAAAATGCACATTGGTTCAAGTGACAATAAGGTTGGTTTTCTTAAGCCATGCAAATACTAAACATGCAATTAAATCTAAACATGCAAATACTTGTTTGATCTCGACCACACTCTCACAAGAAACACCCCATTTATAGTGGATTTAGGTTCGAGTTGAATCAAAAGTGAGGAAGGGAATATAACTACTGCCTAATCAAAACTGTGCAAGTAATAACACTATACAGAGGAGTCATTTGCTTTACGTAAGAATGAAAAAAAGCAATATTTTTTCTATAATCATATAAAAGTGATTAAGATTGAAAATTTTCTAAAATTACACATTCATTTAAAAAGTTATATGACATTTTAAAAAACTCATATAACTTGTGTATTTTAATCTTAATTTTTCATATTAAAAATTAATAATTAGTTTTTTCTCATTTAATATTTTTTTTTCATGTGTGGGTCCATATTTTAACTTAAAATAATAACACATTTAACAATGTTGTTTTATCAAAAGTTAATTTTATTGGTGTTATTGTTTGATTTAAAATTCTTATAAAGTAAATTGAGTATACAAAGTTTTATACAATTAAAATACTAATTTTAATCGTTTTAACTATATTTCAATTTATGATATATTATTTTAAATATAAGCAAAGATTTGTGATTAAATTACATGTTTACAAATATTTAAATTATGTAAATTTTATATATATGTTTTCTATGATAATATTACAATAATCATAAGTTTTACCTTTATTGAAAAAATTATAAAATACGTTATTTTACCAAGTTTGATAATAAGAGTGTTTGGTATACAAAATATTTTTAAAATTTTTTTGAAACTGTTTTTTAAGAGTTATATTCTTTTCTTTTTTTTCTAAACCGGCATTTTTCACTGAAAATAATATTGACAGTGTTGAAAATATATTTAATATGTCTAAAATATTTTTGAAAATGTTGTATAATATTTTACCAAAATATTTATACTTTATGTTTGTTTTAAATATTGTTTTCTAAAAATGTTAATATTTTTATTCTAAAAAAGGTTGTTTGGAAAGTGGAGAGAGGAAAAGACGAAAAAGAAAGACATATTTTGTATTTTAAATAAATATATTTAAAATTAATATTTTTAAAATAAAATATACATTAATATATTAACATAAATTTAATATATTAATGATACATTTATCATATAAATAATATATAGTTCTTTTAATTTTATATTAAAAACATGTCCTCCCTCCAAAAATTTTCCTCTTAAATTAAATATCTCTTTACTCTCTCTGCCAATTAATAGATTTTATTTACATTACCAATTAATTTATACTTATATAAAGATATAAAAAAATAAATTTAAAGTTTAAGATAAATTAACTAATAAGATATTTATAATAATGATATGTGTAAAAGAAAATTATATAAAATAATTTACTTCGTCAATATTATATATATATATATATATATTCTGTGAATATTTAATCTTAATTATTTAATTTATTTTAGTTTAATTATTTTTCATTTTATCTGCGATTAACTTCTTATTTGTTCAGTTACATATTTATTTTAATACTATAACTATAAATATCATAAAAAAATAAAAATTCCAAAAATTAAATTAAAAATAATCATCCGGAGCCTTTATTCATTGACTTATCAAGTATAGTCTAATCTTAAGAAGCCGTTGAACAAGCTTCTGCAACGTTACTTTCAGTTTATACACTAATAAAATTAATTATTAAACCAGCTAATAAATATAAACTACAAATGAAAATATCGTTGAAAACTATATTAAATTTTAATAATTATCATTTAGAAATTATAATTTTTATAATTATTTATCTGCTTACAAATTAAGATAACAGTTTTTATGTGACTTTCATTTTTACAATACATATAAATTTATTTATTTTTATTTTGACGACTGTATATAATAAAAATAGGATTTGACGATTTTGATAAATTATTTATAAGAGACAAAAGTAAATATATTAAACTTTTAGAAATTTACCAATATCATAAGGATAATTTATATATATATATATATATATATATATATATATACATATATATTCTCAAAATTTAAAAAGTAGTTATCCCGTATATTATATAAAAATTTAAATTATTTGAACAATGTTGATTTTATTGACCTTTGAAGCTCTAAATTTTGAAAAGTCTTTACGTTATCGCAATTAATTAAATTATTTATTTAAAGTTTTAAAAATTTACCAATATCATAAGGATAATATATATATATATTTTCAAATTTTAAAAAGTAGTTATCCTGTATATTATATAAAAATTAAAATTATTTGAACAATGTTGATTTTATTGAACTTTGAAGCTCTAAATTTTGAAAAGTCTTTACGTTATCTCAATTAATTAAATTATTTATTTAAGTGGTGACTTTCAGAGTGTCGTATTATATTCTTAAAATTATGCGAAAAAGTAGTATTGATTGAAAAAAAAGAAAAACATATTAACTAATTAATTTTATATAAAATTATTGACTAACGATTTATCATTTAATCAGTCTTTATTAGTATAATTTTTAATAAATATTATTATATTAAAAATATATTATATATTGATGATATATATCAATTTTTTATAATGATAAATCATTTTTTAATATAATGTGTCACAGTAATAACATAGACTAATAATTCTTATATTAATATAATTCTTATATTAATAATTAATTTTTGTCAAATTATATACTAACGAAGGAATGATAAATTGTTAGTGAATTAGATAATAAAGAAGGAAGTAAATATCAATTTAATTTGTAATAAAAATATATAAAACAAGTCATAATATATGATTGCATAATAATGAGAGGACACGAAGAGATTATGCATTTTAAATGAAATATATTATGAAATTATACGAAAGGGCAAAATCTCCATTTAACAAACACTTAATTGGACAAATTAAAATCATGGATCAACACTCCATAATCCCCTTACATGAAAATATTGAATTGCAATCATGGTTTTTATTAAGAAATAAAATCATAAAGATATGGAATTGGAAAGGAACAGCCTTACCTTAAATACAAACATTGAATCACTCATCTTCATCGCCACCATAACGCTATATAAACACAATTGCATAACACTTTTCATCCATCCACGCTTCATTCAACCCTTCAGCATGGCAACTTTCTCTTCTCTTCTCTTAGTGTTCCTATCACTCGCAATACCCTTCATTGAGGCACACAATGGTGGCTTCAGTGTTGAACTCATTCATAGAGATTCCGCAAAATCTCCATTCTACAACCCCACCAAAACTCGTTTTCAACTTCTTCACAGTGCTCTTCAACGCTCTTTTAACCGTTTCCACCTCTTCTACCCACTAACAAAAGCATCCTCAGACACACCACAGTCACAAATAACCGACAACCAAGGAGAATACCTTGTTAACTACTCCATTGGAACCCCACCTTTTGAAATCATGGGCATCTTTGACACGGGTAGTAACCTTATTTGGTCACAGTGTAAACCTTGTACTCATTGTTACAACCAAACCAATCCAATGTTTGACCCTTCCCAATCTTCAACATACAAACCCATAGCCTGTGATTCTAGGGTGTGTCATTTATTAGCTGATGTCTCATGCGACAATGCCGATCATAGTTGTAAGTACAGCATTTCATACGGTGATGGATCACATTCACAAGGAACTCTTGCCTTTGACACACTTACCTTAGGCTCTACTACAGGTTGGTCAACGTACCTTAATAGCTCTTTTGCATGTTTTGTATTTTATGTATTTATTTTTAAATTTTCAGCGATATGCCAATGATGTTATATTAGGTTAAAAAAGGTTTTCAACAATTGGATGATATTCAAATTAAGAAATTAATAAATATTTTTAATGTTAGTATTTGATGATAATCACCGTGGAGTGTGTTTGTGACCACTTTTAATAATCAATAAAAAAATTTATTGAAATTTAAACTTTATTTTAAAATCATAGTATGCATTGACATATAATATTAAAGGGTGCGCTTTTTTTTTGTAAAATTCTATGTTTATTCTCTATCTAGTATTCTTAGACTACTAATTGAAATTCTCTTAATTTTTATAAAGCTTATTAAACTGTGTTTTTGTCTCTCTTTCGTAGGTTCCTCAGTTGCATTTCCCAGTATTCCCATTGGTTGTGGATTCGACAATGCTGGTACCTTTGACAACAAAACTTCTGGCATAGTTGGGGTAGGAAGTGGTAATGTCTCATTTATCTCTCAAATAGGTCCTTCAGTTGGGTTCAAATTCTCCTATTGCTTGGTGCCGTATTTTGAATCCAATGCCACAAGTAAATTAAATTTTGGAGATAATGCTGTTTTGGCTGATCCTGGTGTAGTCTCTACTCCAATTTCACCTGGTGATTCAACTTTCTATTACCTTACATTGGAGGCAATGAGTGTGGGGTCCCAAAGGATAGAGTTCAAAGATGAGTCAACTTCAAAAGACAAGAAGGGTAACATTATAATTGACTCAGGAACAACATTGACCTTTTTCCCTATGGATTTTTATCAAAAATTGGAGTCAGCAGTGGCATTGAATTTCAATTTTGAACGTGATGATAACCAAATGTTAAGTCTTTGTTATAAGGCTCCACTAAGTGCTATTCAGGCCCCAAACATTACAGCACATTTCGTTGGTGCCGATGTTGCGTTAACTTCTGCCAACACTTTTGTTAGCATTTCGGAGAATATAACGTGCTTTGCTTTTACCTCAGGGCCAACGCCCGATGCCATGTTTGGAAACTTGGCACAAGTTGGTTACTTGGTCGAGTATGATTTGCTTAAGAAGATGGTGTCCTTCAAGCCCACTGATTGTGCCAAGATTTAATATCATTATGTTAGTAGTGCATACTTCTACTGTATTGCCTTTTAGTGAAATTATGCGTAATATTTATAATTTTATAAGGTTAATTTTAATTTATTTTAGTCATTATATTAATTAGAGGAGAATTTGCATTAATCGTTCTTTAAATTGTTATAAGAATTTGTTCTCTAATATTTTTGCAGGTTTTCATCGTAGTCATCTGTTATATTGTCACCTCTAACGTCGAAAATACTGTAATATATGTAGTCCAATTCTGTTGCAGAGAAATTTTAAAGTATATATATTATCAATCTGCAAAATTGTTATAACAACTTAAATTATTATAATAATAAGAATGATCCTAATTAAATTCTGTTAATATATCATCAATTACATAAATTTGAAAACTATACATTTCTTGCTGAATTATAGGAAGAGTGAACTACACCGCTGTTAAACTATTATGCACTTAATGGAATACTAACATAGATCTATTACGATTTGCTATACGGCTCTGAAATATTATTATCAAGTTAATTTAAAGTATTCAAAAATAGAAATTTTTATTAATAATAAAAATATTTATTATATTTTCATGTTATAATATAATAAACATTTTTCAAAAAAATAGTCCATACTATTTGTTATCGTATTATTGAATAAAATTTTTAAATAAAAATATTAACTTAAATAAATAAATACTAAACTGTTTATTTAGGATTTGAAAATTTTCCTTGATAGATATCAAATTAGTTGTTAAATAATTTATATTATTATTATAGTTATATTAATAAAATTCATGTTTGATAAAAGAAAATTATTAAAGATGGAATTTTATTAAGTTTGATATTGATCCTTTAATTGTGTCCCATTTTAAAAATAAGCTTAGTGTATTTAATCTCTATTTTCTATGATATGGAAATTATTTTTATATAAATTTTCTTAGCATCACTACACCTGTCATTCCACTTGACTTAAAAGTATTCACTTTCCTTTTATAAAAGAGAAATAGTATTATTAGGGAAAAAAAAGAGAAATAGTATTTATATGTATTTACCAATATTTATATAAAATTAGAGAGATACAGAGTAATAAGTTATATAACTAAGAGATAGACCAAAATTTGTTATTTTTTTATATATAAAATTTTATTGTAAAAATAAAATTTTCTTTACAAGATAACATGTTTTACATTCCGCATCTTCTAAAAAATCTATAAAAAATATTTCTTAAATATCTTAAGGGATACACTTTTAGGTATCCCTATGGGATGCATGCTTTAAAATATATATGAAAAAGATAAAAATAAATAAATAAAAATAATGGAATAGAAAAATATTTTCCAAATAATTTATACATAAATAAAAAATATATATATCTAATTATTGATAAAGATATCTCGTTACTTAACTCTGTGTAAGTATAACTAAATTATTTATACAAAAAGAATGTTAGTAACATACTCTTTAACATACTTTATTGTTGATTAAAATTTATTGAAAACTAAAAAGTATGAGAAACAAACATTAATTTAAAAATAAAAAAATTGAAAGCCAAATAATTTTTTATAGTTTTCAATAATTTTAGTTAATAATAAAGACTGTATTATAAAGAGTATGTTGCTTACATTACTCTTTTATATAAATTTTTATATTAAATTAACTTATGGTTATACATATTAGTGCTGAAAGCTAGAAAAATAACAACATATTTCAATAAAAATAAAATTGCAATTTTTTTCTACAAATTCTGAAAGCAAAACATAAATCAGACTGGAATTTTGTCATTGTCACACCAAAACTAAAACATCTTTTGGCTTTTCTGGATCAAGAAGATAAAGAGTGCTGCAATTTTTAAAGTTATACAAAAAAAATTATGTAAGAATGGTAAAATGAAAATGATGTTGAAATAACATCATTGATCATACTCTCAGACTATCAATGAATGATTCATCAAGCTTCCTATTGAAAAACTTGCTGAAATACTCTGCATGTGTCAAGGTTTTGAATACGGGTTGGTTTCCTTCACCAATTAACTTGTCAGCAGGTCCAATATCCATATGAGGGCTTGGATAGCTGAATGTCACTATTGAAAACCTCTCCTTCATTTTATTTACTACAGCTCTGTGTTCTGGAGCTTTATATATCCCATTGCTCATCACCTACATGACAGAAACACAAGCAAAATCAAACACATTTTTTATTTTAGGAGGATCTGACTCTTCTAAAATAAAAATTTATCTACTGTTGTTTCAATTTTGATTGTGTTTATAAAATACTGGAATTCAAATCAATCGTAAATAAGTTCTCTTTTTCTTTTTTTTTTCACTTTACATGTCCCTTCATTTTAGAAGAATTAAATTAAAAAAATTTCCTTATTGTGTAAATTTCATTTTCCTAATCAACAAAATGAAATTGTTAGTCAAATATAATGGCATAGTATTATTGCTTTATCCATTTAGTTGATCAGTATCAAACTTGCATCATCTATTTGAGGTTGAATTTTCTGCTTCATGAGTCACAAGTACAAACCTCTATAATTTGGCCAATGTTCACAACAATGGCCCCTTCTATAGGTTCAACATTGAGCCATTTTTTATCTTTGAGGAACTGCAAACCAGGAAAATCACCAGAGTCAAGCAAGAGAGTGATAGCAGAATTGTCAGCATGGGGCATTAAGGCCAAGAACTCTTTCAGGCTCTGGACATGGTGGGTAGCAATTCATCCTTATCATGTATAGCCCTTCTTGGAAACTTTCTGATATCTGTGTATCCTGAATCCCCAAAGACATGGTAATAAACTTCACAATTGATATTGCTACCTTCCTCATATCTTCAGAATATTTCTCTAATGTTTCCCTGATAACCAATTGAGAAAGGACACCCTTACAAACATGAGAAAAGGATTTAATAGAAATTTTGTATTGGAAACTCTTTCCTAAAAACCAAACACAAGAGGAATAATAAGAGAATGAAAATAGGTAAATCGTGTAATTGATAAAATATATAAGGAATCCCCTCCAGCACATTATATTAATGTAGAGCTATGGGTATAATTAAGTATTTAATTAATAAAATAATAGTCTTCATGGCAAATGCTAATTTTGTTCTAAGAAAAAAAGTTCCAGAACAGATCATGTCATAAACTAATAGTATGTCCCAAGGCAATGTTTTATTTGCTTTATCCATATTCTAACACTAATTGGCATCATTATGCTCATCAATTCAGCTACATAGTACATATGTACCTGAACTCTGGAGGGTTTTGTGGCCAAGAATCCAATTTTCTGCTCTCAATGGGGAGAGATTGGAGGAAGATCATGTCATTCCAATCCAACGTTTGGTCCTCTGAGGTTACAAATGCTTGGCCATAGCCTTCAAGCCTTCCTGGTTTCTGTGCCCAGCGCTTCTTCTCTTGAAAAGGAAGCTCAAAAAATCTTTCAACTTGATTACTCATATTCTTAAGGGATGAATTTGAAACCCCATGATTTACCATCTGCAGGACAGAAAAAAACATAGAAGAAGAAAATGGGGTAAAAATCTCTCCCACAACTCTCACATGCTCTTACCTCAATTAGCTTTCTAACAATGCCCAAATTGACAAAAAGACATAACTTTGGCTTATGTTTTCACTTTTCTGAGACCATAAATTAAGGACATCACTAAAAAAACTAGAAAAAAAAAAAGAAGAAATTAATAAACAGAAATTGCAGAATCAAAATATAAAAATCAACAGAAATACTTCATGTAAGATTAATTAATACAAATCGATCTATTATTTCATATTAATTTTCGTAGTGTAATCCCTGAGAAATTTTTTAATTTACTATTAACAGCAAGATTGCATAAAGATACATATCACTACTTGAAGTAATTGAAAGCACGCAAGAACTAATTGCTAGTGCCTAGTTCGGTACCTGAAAAGCACCCCAGTTTTTGCATGCAAGGTGAAGCTTTTGAAGCTCATGCTCATGTGTGTCTGCGTTGACCAACTTGGCCATGTCTATGATGGGTACATGAAGAGATGGATCAGAAGGGAAGGCATAACCACCACCACCACCATCATCATCATCATCATCATCTCTTATGTACCTTGGTGGCACTTTCTCTGGCCTTTGGAATGCCAACTCTTGAACACTTGGAACTGCAAGGGATGATTGAAGGCTCACAGGTATCGCATCCATTGCCAAAATTCCTTTGGGTACAATTAAGGAATACAAAATGGACCACGTCACTGCCGTATATAATATTAATTGTTTGACTTCTACTAAGTTGCAAAGTAGAAAGTTTGGTGGGAAATCGACAAATTTTTTATTTTAATGAAGATTTTTAATTTGATACTGAAAGAAATAAAATATACTGTTTAGGGATACGATAATTTATAATTAAATTTTAATTTAATATATTAAATTTACTCCTTTTATAAATGTAAGATAAATTTTTAATCAATTGTTATATTATATATGAGAATTAATTTTGTAAAAAATAAGAATTAATAAAATTACTTTTATTCATAGTCTGCAGCGTGTATATTTTAATATTAAAATTAATTAAAAATTATGCATAAAATATTTTTTTTATTAGAATAATTTTTTATTTATCTTTTTTAATTTTATTTTAAATTTTAAAGATTATTACTTAATTTTTATTTACTATTTTGTATAATTCTTTATATTTTTCATAAATATTTATTTTTATATTTAAAATTTACTTTTATATTAATTGTTGACAATTAATTTAAATTTTTTTTGACACTACCCAATAAAAATATTATTTTAAATTATTTAATTTTATTAAATTTTTTTTGTTTTGATACTATTTATAATTACAAAATTAAGTTAAAATTATTATTTAAAATAATTTTATTATATATATATATAATTATTTAAAAATATAAATTTTATCTTTTAATTAGTAATATATATTATAAAATAAAACACCTAGGCAGCAACTAGTAAAGTTTAAAGTAAAATTAATAATTGATTCACAATATTTATTTTTATAATTTATTTATTGATGTTAAAAA